GTACTATTTCATTGATTCATCAATGATCTGGAACTAGGGGTGAGCAGTGTAGTGGCCAAGTTTGCAGACGACACACAATTATTCAGGAGGGTGGAAACCAAGGCTGACTGTGGAGAACTCCAAGAGGATCTGCACAAACTGGGTGAGCGGGCGACAATGTGGCAAATGAAGTCCAGTGTTGGTCAGTGTCAGGTGATGCACCCTGGGACGAAAAAATAAAATAAAATCCCAGCTCAAGTATAGGCTAAGGGGGTCTGAAATGGCTCAGACTGAGAGGGGGAAAGACCTTGGTGTCGTAACGGATAGCTCGATGAAATTGTCAACCCGGCGTGCTGCAGCAGTGAAAAAGGCAAACCCTGCATTTGGACGATTAAGAAAGGGATTGAAAATAAAACATCCAGTATCATGATGCCCTTGTATAGATCTGTGTTTAACTTCACACGCATTCAGAAGATCATTTACTCACAATCGACCAGATAGCTGGGTGGAAAGTTACATCTTGTGACCTAGGTCAGTTCTATCGCCGCGGTGAGAAAAGAGATGGGCTTCCTCTCTCCTTGCAGTAAGGGTTGGTGGACAAGGTTCCCTCTAAGCTGAGTTAGTGTGAGCTAGCTCACAGTTCTTTAGCCTCCGGCTCACCCGTTTTTGTCTTAGCTCAGGAAGGAGGGCTGCAGAGCAAACTAATTTATGCAGTAGCCCAATCGCTCGCTCACAACTTTAACGCCAGTAGCTCACAAAGTAGAATTTTTGCTCACAAGACTCCACAGCTTAGAGGGAGCATTGTTGATGGACAAAGAAAAGGTCAATAAAACTCCTATCTTTGCGCCTCTAAGCTCAGGAAATTACTCTTAATGAGCCAGTCAGAGGGAAGCTTCTGGGACCCCTAACTGTGGATTCCAATTCCCAGGTGCAACAAGACTTAAAGATACAGAACAGTTTTACTAAACTACAGATAACACTGACTGGGGCCAGCACAAGATCTATGGTGCAGCCTCATTTGGAATACTGTGTGCAGTTCTGGTCACCGTATCTCGAAAGGGACACTGCAGTGCTGGGAAAAGGCCAGAAGAGGGCGACCAAGACAATGAGGGGGGTGGAGCACCTTCCTTTGGAGGAAAGGCTGAAGAGTCTGGATCTTTTAGGAAAGAGACAAGTGGGGACCCACAGGAAACCTGCGGGGTGGTTATCCCATTCCTCACACCTTTGCTTCCTCCCCTCTCCCCCTACCTCTCTCACACTCTTTCTCCCTTCTCCCCCCTTTTCTTACTCTCCCATCCTCCCCCCCCCCCCGTGCATATTAGTTCCTCTCCCTTTCTGCCTCCTCATTGTTTTCCTGCCTCCTCACCCCATCACGCTCTCTTTCTGCCCCCATCACTCTCCCAGCCACCCACCTGCTTCCTCTCCCCCCACAGCAGCAGTGGCAGCTCTCCAGGAATCACAACGGATCTCCCGGCTACAGAGATCAATTCACCTTAGGGCTGCCAGCTCCAGGTTGGGAAATTCCTGGAGATTTTGGGGGTGGAGCCTTGGGACAGTGAGGCTTGGGGAGGCAAGCAGCCTCAAGCAGGGTATAATGCCATAGACTCAACCCTCCAAAGCAGCCATTTTATTGAGGGAAATTGAGCTCTGTCACCTGGACAGCAGTTGTAATTTTGGGTGATCTCCAGTCCTCACCTGGAGGCTGTCAATGGTAGTTCTTGTGGAGGAAATGGATGGTTTGGAGGTTGGAGTCTATGGCATTATACCAGTCTGAAGTTCCTCCCCTCCTCAAATTCCACCCTCCCCAGGCTCCAACCCTCAAATGTCCAGGAATTTCCCAATCTGGAGTTAACGTTATTTCCATCCCACCCAACAGCCAACCTACCTTTCTCTGCCTCTCTGTCTTCAGCTTTCCGTCTCTACCCCCCCTCCCTCACAGCCTCTACCGAAGGAAATTACAGTCTTTCTCCACAGTGGGGACCAAAGCAGTTTACATCATTCTCCCCTCCTTTTTATCTGCACAACAACCCTGCGAGGTTGGCTAGGCTGAAAGTATGTGACTGGTCCAAAATCACCCGGGCAGCTTCCACTGCAAGATGGGGATCTGAGCCTGGGTCTTGCAGACCCTAATCTGAAGCTCTAACTGCTGCACCTCACTGGCTTTCATAGGGTGGCTGCTGTTGAAGGCTAGCAAGCGGCCAGGCGTAGTTGAATCACGCAAGACAGATAGTATCAAGTCAACCAGAAGATGCTGTCAGGCCTAGGGCTGCCAACCTCCAGGTGGAACCTTGAGATCCCCCAGAATTACAACTGAACTTTAGACAGCAGAGATATCTCTCTCTGGAGAAAACGGCTACTTTGGAGGCTGGACTCTGTGCCATTAGATCCATCTGAGACCTCTCCCTTCCCCAAACCCAGCCTTTCTTAGACTCCACCACAAAATATCCAGGAATTTCCCAGCCTGGCACTGGAAACCTTTGTCAGGTCTGGCCCTAAGGATCCCTCCTTGAAAGGCTAAAATAGACCTGGAAAGGGCCCTTCCCCCTTCCCCTGCCTTGACAGAACCAGTTAGAAGCCTCCCCCTCCCAGGGGTACAGTGGAGCCTGCAGCAAAAGAGGTAGGGGTGAGAAGCTCAGAATATTTAGCCAGTCATACCTCAGGAGGAATCCTCCCCAATCCCAGCTCCAGTTCTGCTTTTGCTTCCTCCCCTCTCTGTCTCTCTATCAACCAGTCTACCTCTCACTGTTGATGCGGCAGGGCCTGGAGTAGATCCCTGCAGAGCCCATTTCAAAAGGTATGGGGGGGGATTTAACCCTCCCTGAGTTTTTAAGAAACTTTTTTGGATTTTTCTGCAGACCACAGAGTCCCCTGAGTCTGTAGAAAAGCCTGTTGGAGGAGAGTGTGCCCTCTGCAGAAATAACTATCTGCATGCAGAGGGGACTGTTGAGAATTAGATACATAGATGATTAAGGGGAGACATGATAGAGGTTTATAAAATTATCCATGGGGCAGAGAGAGTTGAGAAAGGGAAATTTCTCTCCCTCCCCCCAAATACTAGAACTCATGGGCATCCAATGAAGCTGATGGGCAGTAGGTTAAGGATGGACCAAAGGAAATACTTCTTTACACAGAGAGTGATTAAAATGTGGAATTCACTGCCAGAGGATATAGTGATGGACACAGACATAAACAGCTTTAAAAGGGGATTAGATAGATTCATGGAGGATAGGTCTATCAGTAGCTAGTAGCCATGGTGATGGAGAGAACCTCCACTTTCAGAGGCAGTCAACCCCTGAATCTGAGAGCCAAGAGACAACATCAGGGGAAGGCCTCAGCCTCTAGGTCCTGTTGTTGGCTGTCCAGAGGAACTGGCTGGTCACTATGTGAGACACAATTCTGGACTAGATGGACCCTCACTGGTCTGATCCAGTGAGGCTGTTCTTATGCTCTTATGGCTTGGGCTCTAGGAAGTATACATTCATTAGTTTTTTTTTAATTGAGACTGTAATTGCAACCGTATCTGTGTCCCGATCCATGCAGAGCCACCGAGGCGGCTTCCACAAACATCGCTTTGGTGACGTGACTATCAGTAGCTACACAAGGAGATGCTCAAACACACTCACTCTCTCCCTGTTTTTCCCACCAGCTGAGGCTGCATGCCAGGAATCGTGCTTGAAATCTCAAATCCTGGTGAGGAGGAGGAGGAGGAGGGCCAGAGCATGTGTGGACTGCTGCCCCTCCCTCTCCCCTGCTGTTTCTAGGGGAAGGAACTTGCAATGCAATGGTCCCTGCCACACAGCGGTAAAAATCACGGCCAAAGTGTGGCTTTTTACCGCCGCACCAAAGGAGACACACGGCGGCGGGATCACACAGATCCCCTGAGCCGCCGCACACTTCCTCCCTGGCATGATCAGATGCCAGGGGGGAAAGCCACGAACGGGAGCGCGAGGCAGCCGAACTGCGCATGTGTGTGCATGCGCAGTTCGGCCGGGAGCCTGGATTGCTCCGGACGACAGGCGCGCCGGTGATCCCACGGCTGCGCTTGATGCGGCGTTCCAGGTAAGTCCTCCTCTGTAGGAGGTTCTTTTTTGGAGTGGGTTTTCCGGCTTTAGGGACGGATCGGGGACGGGTGCGCGCCGCTTCCCAGATGTTGCAGTGAGATCGCGCCCGTTTGCTGCGCCCCCGATCCGTCCCTCTCCCGGGCCAAAACCTTCCGTGTGACCGGGACCAATTAATACCATTTCGCTAATCACTCCGGAAGAGATGGTATTTCTTAAGACATTTCTCCCCAGTGTTTCCACATATTTCCAGGTCTTTCCCCTGTGGGTTTCAGGAAAAATAAGGAAACCACAGCTTTATTCCCCCCAGAATTTGGTGTCTCAGCTAGCAGCATACAGCCAGTTGACCCACACAGCCAATGTCTTGAGTATAGCTCATGAGATCAACTAGCCCCTATGATGTCACCCTCCGTAAGGAATTCCTGCCGATTGAAGAGCCCGGGGTTTGTGCACAGAGGCCAGGCTTCTGCACAGTGGACCCTTCAGTAGGGTCTACTTAAGAGGAAGCTGCAGTTGCGTTGATCTCGAAACAGGCCGAGGGAATTTCTAAAATTAAGGCTGAACTAGGAATTGAGCTGGGAATCCAACAGTTCTTATATTCCGATACCTGCCAATTACTTAATCCCCCTTGTGCTCATTTGGATTGTTATATTTTTTTAAACTGAGTTCACTATTCTTGAGAAGTTTAAAAATGATCCCCTGTTGGTGTAACTTGTTTGTGATCTATTAATTCATTCTATTAGTTTATTTGTTCCACTGCCTTCCTTATCGTTCCTGTGTTATGCCAATAAAAGTCTATGTATATGTATATGTATGTACAAACCAGTGCCATGCTATGAAATGTCCATATGAAACAAGTGGCAACGCGCGAACCTTTGCGTTTACACAATGTACAGATTTACAGCAAAGCCGAAAGACCCTCCCCCCCTTCTCAGAGAGGCCCGCCCCGCCCCACCCCCGCTACTACCTACAGCCGCATTCGGCTACTTTCATCCCCTCATATTGGTACTTTAGAGTGGGCGTGCCCGCATCGTCATTGTAAAGCATGGAAATGGCGTCCAGTTTGGTCGGGACGCAGCAGGCTTTGGACGCTTTCTTGGGGTTCTTGTAGTGCACCAGGGTCTGGACGATGGCATGTTTGGTCGGCGTGACGTTATCCGTCAGAGGGAAGAAGCACCCCCCTTTGCACTCAAAGGCCTCGTAGTCTTGGGGGGCAATGATCCAATTCCAGCCGATTTCTTTGAAATTCACCCGGAGGGAGGCTCTCCGGCAGTGGTTCAACTCGACGCTACGTTTGCTTCTGGCGGAAGGACGATGGATTCCGTTGCTGGACACGGCGTTGTGCCTGTGAAACGTGTTGTCGTTCCCTACATTCTCGCGTGGGCCCTCCTGTTCATGCACCATCATCTCCTGAAGTTCCATGTGGTTGTCCTTGATTCTGTGGCTATGATCGTTGGAGAACACGATCAGCAAGGGCAAGTGGTTGGAGTCACGCATGACACTGAGACGCCACTTCTCACAGGAGGGGTCATCCGGCACGTGACTCTCCACCCAAATGTCCAGCTGGTCACTGGCCTTCATCTTTTCTCTCCTGACCCATCTTTTCACGGTGGTGGAGACATCAAACATCACCCAGCCACATTCTTGGATATCTTTGGAGACCAGGAAGGACTTGGTCCCTTCTGACCATTCCCAGTGATCTGCTTCGAGGACATCGTAAACTGTCAGTTTTCCTTGGACGTGAGACGCACACGCTGTTTCCTCCTGACAGGCAACGTGGACTCTTAGCTCCGCTCTGCTGACTTCTTCATACCGGGGGACGGAGACGTTGAAAAGCAGGACGTATTTCTGAAGTGGATTCATGTCCAGTGAAGAAACATCTGCAAGAGAACAGTTCGAAACACCGTCACTACGACGACCGCCTATTACTGAAGAAGGAACATGCATTTATCTGAGTACTGCGTCAGAAAGTATTCTCTTTTTTTTTTGAAAAACAATTTATTAGGATATAATAAAAAGAAATGTTCAAACATATATCAAAACTTAAACAATTATATATCCTTCCCTCCTCCCTCCCCCCCCCTTCTCGGCTTCCCGCAGTGCTCCAACCTCCTGCCCAATTCTTAGATTTTCTTCATACCTCCTCATCTCCTTATTCACATCCACAGGTAACTTAATCTTCAACTATTAGTCTTATACAATTATCTATTTTCTACTGTCCTTTAATTTTCAATAATTCTCAAAGCAAAGTAAATTGTCCTTTACATCCCAGTACTTCTCCAAATGGAGCTGCGGTGGCTCAAGTGGTTAAGACGCTGAACTGCAGGCTGCGGAAGGTCAGTAGTTCAGCAGTTCGAGACCCGGGGGCCGCCTGATGGCGTGAGCTCCCATCTCTGGCCCCAGCTCCTGCCAACCTAGCAGTTCGAAAGCAAGAAATTGCAAGTAGATAAATAGGTACCACTTCGGTGGGAAGGTAACAGCGTTCCGTGCGCCTTGGTGTTTAGTCATGCCGGCCACATGACCACGGAAACGTCTTCGGACAGCGCTGGCTCTTTGGCTTTGAAACGGAGATGAGCACCGCAACCCTAGAGTCGGATTCGACTGGCTTTCGAGCAAGGGAACCTTTACCTTTACCTTTACTTCTCCAAATATTCTTTAAAGTCTATCCAGTCTGCAACAAAATTCTTCTGCTTCCAAATTATTTAGTTTCCTCATCAGAAAGTATTCTCAGTTGGCAAATGAGGTTGAAATTAAAATGAAAGTCTGCTTCTGTGCGCTCTGCTTTTCTGACTCTGAGGTTTGCTCCCTGAGCCCCCAACCCTCTCCCATCACACAAAGTTCGTCTCTTCCTTCTGTTGTTCAATAGCAGCCTGAATATAGTAGCCTAAATAGTCCAGACTAGCTTGAACTTGCCAAAGGCTGATTCTGCACCTGTCTCTTATCTTGCAGTCTTTCAACAGCCACGTCGGAAAGATCTCCCTCTACACTGCATGCCGCTTTCACTTTCTTTGTTCATCGGGATTTATGGTACCTTCTGCATAGATTTGTGGCCGTTCAGGGGGTGACCGCAGTCATTACAGCACTGCCCCGGGGTACCTGAATGTGGTTTTGAGCGGCCCCTTTTCCTTCCTCCACTTCCGATTCAAAGAGAACAATAAGCAGACAACTTGACATGGCTTCGCTGATCTCCGTCACTTCCCCCGCCCCTATTTCCCCCTCTGTATTGATCCCCTCACCATGAATTACTTGGCTCAGACAGCTAATGGCCGCTGTGGCAAGTACTGACACAGGAAAATCTGCATACCAGATTGAATGAAAACAGATATTCCAAGGCAAGGGGGAACCAGGTCGAGTGCTGAGAAAATGTGGAGCATATGTCAGATGCAGAATGGACCAACGCTTGGAAGCTAAGCAGGGTTGGTCATGATTAGTTCTTGGGTTGGGAAGCCACCAGGGAAGCCCAGGGTTGCTATGCAGAGGCAAGCAATGGCAGACCACCTCTTGCCTTGGAAACCCCATGAAGGGTCACCAATAAATTGGTTGGCACTTGACGGCAGTTAATTATTCATTACGATATTGCTGCCTCTGATGCTGGGAGTATTGGCTGTAAATTGACGCTTTCTCCCACAATGGATCTGGTAGTACCCATTTCAGCCCAGCTGCTACTCAGAACATATTCAGTGATTACCTAGACAGGCAGTTACGGGATCTGCTGGCATTTTAAGCATATGAAACAGATTCCAATCTTAATCTTGAAATTACAGAATCTTAAAGAGGATAGAGTGTAGGATTACCAGACCAAAAAAGACATGTCCTCTTTTTTGTGTGTGTTCATCCTCTTGGTGGCTCTAAAAAAAAAAAAACCCTGATGAAAATGTCCTCTTTTGGGGGGTGGAAGGTTAGGAATATCCCTAGATAGTAGCAATTCTCACACCTTAAATAGGAGGGGGATTTAAAATGAGATTTGTCAGACTAATCACTTGTTTGAAGTAGTGAGGCGGGAAATATATCTCAGGATGGGCAACTGAGGCAGCTACTTGAGAGAGAAAGCAATTGCCAGCCAATTTGAATATAAAAAGGCTTCTAGCATGTGCCCGCCCCCTGGGCTCTTTACTGCCAGAGCTCCGCTCCTGTGCGCTCCTGCAGGAAATGACCCCTGTTCACATGAATTATTAAATGTTATTTTTATCACAAAATCTCCAGGTGGGGCCTGAAAATCTCCAGACTACACTGATGGGGTCCAAACTGGCAGAGACTGACCAAGAGAGAGATCTTGGAGTCGTAGTGGATAACTCACTGAAAATGTCGAGACAGTGTGTGACTGCCATAAAAAAAAGCCAACGATATGCTGGGGATTATTAGGAAGGGAATTGAAAACAGATCAGCCAATATCATAATGCACCTATATAAATCAATGGCGCGACCTCATTCGGAGTACTGTGTACAGTTCTGGTCACCACACCTCAAAAAGGATATTATAGCATTGGAAAAAGTGCAGAAAAGGGCAACTCGAATGATCAAAGGGTTGGAACACTTTCCCTAGAAGAAAGGTTAAAGCGCTTGTTAGCCTGGAGAAACGACGGCTGAGGGGTGACATGATCGAGGTTTATAAGATTAGGCGTGGGATAGAGCAGGTTGAGAAAGAGGTACTTTTCTCCCTATCCCACAATGCAAGAACCCGTGGGCACTCAATGAAATGAAATTGCTGAGCAATTGGGTTAGAACAGATAAAAGGAAGTCCTTCTTCACCCAAAGAGTGATGAACACATGGAATTCACTGCTACAGGAGGTGGTGGCAGCTACAAGCATGGATGTCTTCAAGAGGGAACTGGATAAACATATGGAGCAGAGGTCCATCAGTGGCTATTAGCCACAAGGTATAAGTAGGGGCTCTGGGGCAAGGGATGCTCTATCTTCTTGGTGCTCGGGGGGGGGGTCAACAGTGGGAGGGCTTTTAGTGTCCTGGCCCCACTGCTGGACCTCCTGATGGCACCTGGTATTTTTGGCCACTATGTGACACAGAGTGTTGGACTGGATGGGCCATTGGCCTGATCTAACATGGGCTTCTCTTATGTTCTTATATGGAGCAGAGGTCCATCAGTGGCTATTAGCCACAAGGTATAGATAGGAACTCTCGGTCTGGGGCAAGGGATGCTCTGTATTCTTGGTGCTTGGGGGG